CCAGGACAGCATTTGGTAAGTACCATTAGACTTTCATGTTTGTAATTTCTATAATTAGAAATTAGCTTATGTTAACTTTGTGTAAGGCTGTAAACAGTGTCAACGAAAATTGTTCCGAGTTGCAAAAATTCAAAAGGCAATGGCAGAGAGTGTAAGAACGTGTTAGAAAAAAATAACAATTTGAAGTTCTTAAGAGAAGACACCATTGATATATATATATATATATATGTTAAGAAATGGACGAGGTCTGACAATTTATTTATTAAAGACATTTTTATTTATGTTTAACGTTGTTATTTTATAGATACAAGTATTTAAGCAAATGCTCTGTTTATGATAAACAGTATGAAATAACATTTCTTAACCTGATGTCGAGAAATTTTCATATGTTAAGAAATTATTCGTTTGTTTACATTCGATACGCCAGACCATCATATGAATGTACGAGATTCATGGAAGATTGTAGTTTATAACACCATGAACTTGTTCACTATAAGGTCAATTTACGAGTGGTCAAGGCACAATCTTCCATGAATGACGGTTCCGTATAGGATGCAGGTTCGAATGTAAACAAATGAACGAATATTTTCTATGAAAATTTTCGACATTCAGGCCGGTAAATGTTATTTAATACTGTTTATCATAAACAGAGCATTTGCTTAAATACTTGTATCTATAAAATAACAACGTTAAACACAAATAAAAATGTCTTTAATAAATATATATATATATTGTTGCAGTTTTTTGTATATATTATGTAACTAGTGAGCCAGTCAAAATGACTCAACTCACTTTATAGTCTACCAATAGAATGTTAACCAATCAGAAGACGTACAACATACAATCTGTCGTGTATAAAGGCGGCATTTTTTTTGTTCACTCTACCCGAATCTAGCTTGTCAGGCGAAGAGAATCGAATGGACGAACTATGCTCTGCTACTTTTATCGAAATATCAACTGCTAACCTGAACAACGCTTTCCTACTGTCTTCGAAATATTCACTGCCAACCTCTGGATTCTATATTCAGAGACGACCGTCAAAATGTCTAATATATATATATATATATATATATATATATATATATATATATATATTCATAACGGAAATAGAACAAATATTTATTTGCTAGGTAACCGTATAAAATCCCAGTTTCATATAAATAATTTGAAAACCCAAGGAACATTTAATTCAAATTTTTATGTCAAATTGAGACAGTCGGGTCTTATACTTGGGCTTTCTATGACTTACCGTATTTGACGACATATAAGGCGCACTTTTTCTTTTTCTATTTTTTTTTTCTAAAAATATCTTTTAAAATTCCCGTATCTTATATGCCATATGTAGGTTTCAAATTCGCGAAATTAGCTACCTGCCAACTCCTACTAGCTTAGACTTTAGAGTAATTTTCATATACCTATTGTCATTATTTAAAAGGCTATTATGCAGACCTTCACAGCTAGGACTCGCTATGCCGCGTACACAGCGTTAATTCATTCAAAGTCACTTCCTATTCCATTAGTAAGGAGGAAGTTCTACTCAGACAGCTTCTTCTTCAGAAATGCTATTTTGTGACACAGACTCCCGAGAGGATGCTTCCTGGACCACTACAATCTTAACCTTCTCAATGACCCCTTTTTGTAAGAGGTGACCGCTTAAAAGTAAACCATCTTTACAAGAGTCAAATCCGACCAAGAATTGATTTTTGCTTTGATATCTGAGCTAGTGTTGCTTCGTCCTCATTGTCAAGCCTCTCGCTACTCTAATCAATACTGCTTACCGTATTTGACGGCATATAAGCGCACTATTTTTACTATAAGTATCTTTTAAAATTCCCCTGCGTCTTGTATGCCATATGTAGCTTTAAAATTCGCGATAGTCGGCTTAAATTAGCTACCTGCTAACTCCTATTAGACGTTAGAGTGACTTTTATATACCTATTGCCATTATTTAATCATTGAATTGTTACGGCGATTGAGAACAAGGCCGCACTAAAAGAATGAGATGTATTCATTTATTAATTTAAATTAAATGTTTGTTTTTATTATGATAATAAAATATATACTCATATTAATTCACTATATTCACATTAAGCTACCTTCTCCTGCGGTGAGTAATATTTAATGTGGGTTATTTTGAATAATAATTTAAATTGCCGTATTTGACGGTATATATAAGGCGCACTTTATTTTTGACTAAAAATACCTTTTAAAATTCCCCTGCGTTTTATATGCCATATGTAGGTCTAAAATTCGCGATAGTCGGGCGAAATTAGCTACCTGGCAACTCCTATTAGCTTAGACGTTAGAGTGACTTTAAAATACCTATTGTCATTATTTAAAAGGCTATTATGCAGATTAAAAGTGTTATCATTGATAATATTCAATATATTAATTTCATCACGTTTAATATTAGTACTTTGTTTCACTAAAATTATATGCAATAAATTCAAATTCCCCCACAACAAAAGGCCACATGCTCCACGAGCTCTCCCCTTCTGAGGGGCTTTTGCTTTGTTTCAACAATTGTGAAACATCCTATCTATCTATCTATCTATCTATCTATCTATCTATCTATCTATCTATCTCTCTATATATATATATATGTGTGTGTGTGTGTGTGAAAAGTGTATATAAATATAAATAAATATAAATATGTACAATTATTTATATATTATATGCGCGGTACTTATTAGAAAGAGCTCAATATCAGAGATAGAGCTAACATATTTGTATGTGTGTCTGCATACATCGTTGTTTGCGTTAGTACGATGAATGACAAAACGACGAAATTTCCCCCACCACTTCCACAATAACACCAATACACGCAATCTACATAAACCCAAATTTTTAAAAACATTAATCAGTTTGTCTGACGATCGCTAAAGCGTGAAACCCAGGGTCACAAACTCACATCTATCCAACCAAATATATATATATATATATATATATATATAGAGAGAGAGAGAGAGAGGGGATGGGGGGAGAGAGACATAAAGACAGACAGAGACGATCAGGCCTAAAATAGAGTGCTGCTGGGAAGGAGCTGCCCAGTCCTTCCTTTCCAGTCGCGAAAGAGTCCAAAAGCGCCTCTGCGTCCTTGTGGGTGACAAATTATTTTCCACCCTACAACCTCTTTCCTCACAGACGAAACGTCGTAAGACTCTCGCTGCTTTATCGCTATATCAGTGGAAAGTGCTCAGACGAACTACATTCCTTCGTGCCACCAGTTCTAACCTTCACGATTAAGAAGGGCCAAGCCACGCCCATTGTGGCGAACAACCCACATTCTCTTCATATTCCATAAGTGCGATATATGCTTCACTCAAACAGCTTCTTTGTCAAACCGACTACCAAGAGGAGGATTCCCCAATCACTACAATATTAATCTGTTCAAGTATAGAGTTAACTGTTATCTACCCCAATATCCGCATAAACTGTACTTTTTACTTTGCAACTCTCTACCTGCAGTGTCTCTTGGGCCTTGTAGAGGTTCAATATTTGTTTGTTTTTAGATAACAGATGTCAGAATGAAAAAATAATACAAATTATTAATGTCATATACGTACCTATTTATTAACCAATCAACAACAGACAGGCTACGTAGTGTTCTATTTAAAAAGAAACATTTGATGAATGCTTTGGGAATCTTGTTTTTTATTCACGTGTGACAGTTTCTTTTTAGAGTGCTGTCAAGTAACACGAAATATTAGCTGAAAATATGAAACTAAAACCAAAAGAAGATTAAAAAAAAGAAAAAGAAGGAAAGACTATATCGGGATTTTAAACCCCATGTTATTAAAGGGTAGCCGATGATAGCTTTTTTTTTTTTTTGCCTCGGAGGCTTTAAAGATTATTATTACAGTGTATGGATTTGACATCGAAATAAGATTTTTATCTCAGTACGACTCACAGAAAGAAATACTTAGAAACAAAAACAGGAACTGCATTAATGTTTAGGAAAAGGGTTAATTCAATATATATATATATATATATATATATATATATATATATATATATATATATATATATATATACTAAAATAATAAGAAAGAACAGTAAGATTTATAATCTGGTGTTCTTAGCAATTATTTTTATTTTTAAAATCACAGTGCCCTATACAAACAGTAGAGAAAAATATAATTATTTTCTTTTTAAAAATATGATTACATCGCGACACAGAAAATTTTCATGTTTCGAAACTGAAATTAAATTTATAAATTTAATCATAAAAATAAAAATTAAAATCCATAGTCTCGTTTCATTGTAAAGCGATGTTAGGAATAATTTTCTAAGAAATTTACTTAATTTATAAGCGTGGACAATTATGAGCTGTTAAGGCTAAGGAAAATACAATCTATTTTAATTTAGATGTGGTTGGATTTTAATTTCCCTAGACAACTTATGTATCCAATATATTTTACTTACAAAGTCAGGTTAAGATTAGGTGGAGTGGGGCTGGCTGCTAAAAAAAACAGTTGTGGAGTGGTTTCACAGTGGAGGCTTGTATTTGTACTAAGTCGGTCCTAAAATAGGTTCGACGTACAAAACTTTAGGAACTTCATATAATAGGTAATGACGCAGAGAAATCTAGTTGTGGTCGCTGATACTTTAGTATCCGACTAACGGTCGTCCGGCATCGACTGACTGGCCGAACCACTGAGCGACGGTATTTAGACCCCCCCACCACCACCACCACGTGGGCATCATGTGGCACAAGGCCGTGGGATGGATGATAACGACTACCAGTTGTCAAAATTTCAGCTTTTCACAGTTGTTATTTCTAACAAATATTAGGTTTTAAAATTTTGTCCCTTAGTTTTGGACGCTACTGTATATATATATATATATAATACAAATGTCGTATTAAAAATAAATCTATTCATTCTTTAAATATACATTACAAACCGGACGTAATTGTTAAAAGATGACATATATAACTCAGGATTTTTCTATTAATCCTGACTAAAAGTTAAGGCCTATAATTTCAATTTATTGAAGCTTAAAAGGAACAATAGCATTTAGTTTTACTTACTTTTTATTTGCTGGCATTGTTGCGGATGTGTGGGTGGTGTAAGGATTAGAGGGTTGGAACGAAAAATCAGCAAGCCGAGTTCGATTACAATCGACATCGTTACGTTCACATTGTTCCATTACATTCTGATCGTTTTGATAAGAAAATAACTCCCGAATTTTTTGTTGTGAGACTCAGACTAAACACATAGGCCTACATCAAGTACCTTGAGGAGATAGTGTTGCTTTGGGTGAAGAGGATGGCTGTTAGAAGATCTTATATTTGACAATAGGACTCTGCACCATGCTACTCAACCAGGAGAACCCAGTTATGGCTGTTAATCAATTTATGAGACCACAACATCCCTTTTATTTAGCGCCCTAACTCCCCAGGCTGCAGCCCCCTTCATTATTATTTGTGAGACGCAATTGAGTGAGAGACCAGTAAAACTCCTTGTAACACCAGGCAAGGATTATGGCAGCATTCACCAACTTAAACAAGGAAACCGTCCAGAATATTTGCAGCAGATTCCGAAGTCGCCCGGAGACCGCGGTTGAAACCAATGGAGATTTTATGGAATAATTTTTTCTTTAGTATTTGAAGACTTTTTTGTGTAATTTTAGTAAATATATGTTAAAATGTGATGTTAGTGTTATTTTCATTTTTGCGTCATTTAGACGACAATTTATCCATCGCACGCTGTATATCTGTTAAATTTTTTTTTTTTAAGCGTTTCACCCCAAGCAAGGCGGGAAGCCACTAGGACGCAAGGGGTTACAGAAAATTTGGAGCAAGATCAGATAGGAGTGATAGAAGAAAGGATGAGAAGGGTAGTGGATAGATCAAGGCAACTGGAGATGTCGATTGACATTACATTTGAATAGATGGAGATTATAGCACTCAGGGAAACTGGAATAGGGAAGGGAGTTCCACAGGCGAGAGGTGCGAGACATGAAGCTATTGGAGTAGAAGAGACGGCTACATTTAGGAGTTTCGACAGTGAAGGGGTGAGAGCGAGATGCCAGCCTCGTCGGACGCTTGAACTCATGAAGTCTGCCAGCGTTATTTTAATTTTTTTTTTTTTTGCGTCATTTAGACGACAATCTATCCATTGCACGCTGTTTATCTGTTAAAATGATGTCATTTTTGTTCTTTCTGCGTCATTTAGACGACAATTTATCCATCGCACGCTGTATATCTGGTAAAATGATGTCTGTGTCATTTTTATTCTTTCTGCGTCATTTAGACGACAATCTATCCATCGCACGCTGTATATCTGTTAAAAGTAGAGGCCATTTTTATTTTCATTTTTGTGTCATTTAGACGACAATTTATCCATCGCACGCTGTATATCTGGTAAAATGATGTCTGTGTCATTTTTATTCTTTCTGCGTCATTTAGACGACAATTTATCCATTTCACCCTTCATTTTATGATTTAATAATTTGTTTCAATGTCCGTCTTCAATCTGCTTTTTTTTTCTTTGTGGCGCGGGCGGAGGCGGGGGATAATATTAAGGTTCCAAGACAAATTTGAAACACTTACAAATATAAATATTTTTATTATCTTTTGTGCAGGACGGATCAATTTGGTAAGAAGACGATGCAGCAACCGAACTCTGACCTTGACTCACCACCCGTTAATGAAATTTTTAAACCCGAAAACAAATGTCTCTATGTGCGTCTACCAGAAAGCGTTGATATGTGCTTGGCTTTGCGACAAAGATTTCTGCAACGGAATTTCAAATCACTCACCAATCTTTAGTGGAGACCACACCCTTCTCCAGTTTGTCGTACTTCTAAGCGTTTTATTTGTTTTTGGTTTCACAGAAACACCGCACCTTACTCGGGACTGAGAGAAAGTCTTTGGTGTAGGATGAAGCACCATAATGTTTATGTAATAAAGGTTCAGCTTATAGCAGTATCGGATATGTTCACGAACCGATACAAATTATCATGATAATTTTTCAAAGACTAACCAATACATGGTTACATATTCTTAATTTCAAATTTGACTGGTTTTATCTATATAGCCAGCATCACGCCGATATTTAAAACGATAAATTAAGAAACTGATATAGTGAGGAGGTAGAAAATCCTTGCGGATTGAGCGTAATAATCGTTGAGCTGTTAACATAATACCTAGATTGTTAGAAAAATAACAATTTTCATATTGTTATTAACTAATCTCGTATTAACATCATAATTCCTTTTTCTTTTTTGTTTTGGATATATAACTTAACGGTAGTTATACATAAATACACACACACACATATGTAATTATTTTCTTTTTAAAAATATGATTCCATCGCGACACAGAAATTTTCCATATTTCAAAACTGAAACTAAATTTATAAATTTAATTATAAAAATTAAACTTAAAATCCATAGTCGCGTTCCATTGTCAAGCGATATTAGGAATAAACTTTCAAAGAAATTTATTTTATAAGCGCAGACAATATTGATATTATGATTTGTTAAGGTTAGGAAAATCTATTTTAATTTAGGGAGGGTTGGGTTTCATTTTCGCTAGACATGTATCCAATATATGTTAATTACAAAATCTGGTTAAGTTTTGGTAGGGTGGGGGTAC